TATCCGCACCGGGCGAGCTTGAAAAATATGCCCGGCCACGGTGGGATTCGAACCTACGACCTTTGGAATACTAGCCCAATGCTCTTCCAACTGAGCTACGCGGTCAGGACGGTTAGAGTATGCGATATTTCGGAACTGAGTCTAGTTCCTTCGATATCAGTGTAATCTAATAATCATGAAATCTGCTGTGTTGGTGTAATGTACTCAGGTGAATAAGATGTTTGTGTGATGTTACTCTGAGTGTATATCCACACCGGGCAGGCTTGAAAAATATGCCTGGCCACGGTGGGATTCGAACCTACGACCTTTGGAATACTAGCCCATTGGGCAATACATGACAATACACCAAAAAACGATACAGGCACCTCTGGTCAGCAGCGACCTAGCCTGCATGGCAGGCGGTCTAAAATACCGCCTGCTGGGTTTGGCAGTGTAATTTGATAACCGCCCACTTTTTTGTCCGGGTCCAATTAGCCAATCAGCAAACACTAAATATATTAATAATCAAACTGTCAAATCTATTAACTGTGGTCAAACTATGTGATTGTTTGGTCGCAAAATTGCAAATGTATAAAAATATGTTGAAAGAAACGCCATTGAAAGTTTCAATCAGGACCGAATAAGGCGAATAATGACAAGAGGTAGAAAAGCAAGCGCGGAAAATGTAAATGACTTGTCGTTTGTTTAAGTGTGCTTTGAAACTAAAATAACGGGGCAATACGCTAATAGAGAAAATATTTTATATTCTTATATATCGTTGGAGAAGTTATTTATTTAAGGCAAGCAAAAGAAACGTTACGACAGTGGTAAAACCTTGGCCGAAATAAGCCAAATTGCCGGTTCAGTTCATTTAGGAATCGAAGTTAATAATAAATTCTACCTCGGAACTATCCGACCAAGTTTGTAAACCGTGTGAGCGAAATATCCAAAATGCAAGCGAACTGATTGCCATAATCAAACAAGACATAAACGTGTTGCCTGTGTATGTTCGAACAAATAGACAGTTTTATATTAAAAACCTCAGTTGCCAAATATGAACTGTCTTGTCTCCCTAACGAAGCCGTGTGGTAACGAAAGCCTTAAAAAGTTTGTAATAGGCTAAAAGACTATACGGCCGTCTGTATCTATTCTCGTTATATTTTCTCGCGCCAACAAGAACAACGTAAAAATCAAGCTTTTCCCATAGAATGGCCAAAACATTCTTTCCAAGGAGTAAATCTTTAACTGCTATCTCTTGCTCGCGTTTGACAATCAGTTCGCGTTTCGACTTTCGAGAAGCATTCAGTTTTTATACAACACCTATTAATTAAAGCGAACGCACGCATCATTAAAGTGTCAAACGTATGTTTACATATTAAAGTGTATTCACTTTTGAGTGACAGCGGCTCGGACTCGCAGCCAATCATCAATTCCCGTCCACTGGTGGACGGGGAATTCGATTACACTGCCAAACCCAGCAGGCAGTATTTCCCAGGCTTGCCCAATTTTAGGAACCGCCTGCCATGCAGGCTAGCAGCGACCAGGAAACGCTGATACTACCCACACATTAGGTTTGCAAAACTGAAATACCCAGGGATTCGGCTGGAATGTCGGCCAAAAAACAATACATGACAATACACCAAATAACAAAACAGGCACCTCTGGTCAGCAGTGACCAGGAAACGCCGAGACATCCCACACCTCCGCAGGTTTGCAAAAACTGAAAGCATAGCAAGTAAGCAGCCCATAAAAGGCAACATAAGCGGGCAACACGCCCAGCAATTCGGTTAGCATCAGCAGCCCCCGCCCCCCAAGAAAAAACAAGTGAGGACAAAGGGGATTGGGTGGGTGGGTTTGCAAATCAATCTGTTAATTAATGACTGAACGGAATGAGATATATAATATAAATAACCTGTTCATCTTGTGTATTGTACACCATATACATTGAATGATCTGATGTTGCCCCTTTCATTCCGAGAAGTAATAACAGAAACTGTAATTTAAAATAGAATTTTAAAAATTACTCAAGTGGTGGACTGAAAACAGAATTATTCATACCAAATTTGAATATTACATAATTATATTTCAAATGTATTTCAGAGCATTAGCCATATGCACCAGTCATTTGAAACTGCCCGTCATCCCCCACCAGATGACATTCACTTTATATGTGTGTGAATTCAATGAAATTCAATGATACACTGGTGAACAGGAGGTGACCCTCAAGACGCTGGTCCGGGTATGCCCGAAGCAGAGTGGGGGTGTCAAATACTCGATGTCCATTGTAGGATTATAATATTGCTGAAGTAGTAAATACTTTATAGTCACCCCCCAAAAATATCTCAACAGGAATATCTCTTTCACACACAGTGACTTTTCCTTCTTTGATGATTCTATTTACAGTACCAAATAGATCTGAAAAGGAATTCTTCAGAAGTTCATAGCTCTCTTGTCCCTTGACAACTGCAATAGTGTGACTTCCTATTAACAAATGAAGCAATGTGATTATTCGATTAATAATTGGATCACGGGTGAGGGTGACATGGAAACCAAGTTAGGGACATTTATACCCAATAGTTACCTTTTGATGACATGACATAACATCATCACTATCTAGCAGCGAAAATGACATCACAACAAAGCTAGTAATCCTAGTCATTTGAGCCCCATCGCCACTAATTTTTATCCTCAGGTTACCATCTGTGGTCGGCAACTGATGAAGATCAATCTGTTAAAAAAGAAAGACTGATATATGCTAGCTAGGGCTAAAATTGAACCCTGGGTTCGAGTCTCGTTCAGGCACTATTATTAAACAAATTTTTTGAGATAGTCTTCATTTTGTAAACATCTTTTTTTTTGGTTAGGTTAGTTGCAAATAAAATTCCTACTTACCTGTTTCTGTATAGTGTTTTTTAACTCAGTCTCGAAATCAAGCTGTGCACCCTCCTCTCCCCCTGGTATTTGACTTATATGGCATAAACTATTCAGATGTGTTTTGCACTACTTTATCAGGTAAAAGCGTGGTAGGTGTTCTCCATCAGCTGACATGGTCAATTCATGATATGCGGCTTCGCTTATGCAAAACTTGTCTGTAAGAAATAAAATTTGTTGCACTTTCTCTTTTTCTTCGTCAGCCAGTTCATTGTAGGATTTCTTTCCTCGCTCTTCTGTGTGGTATTCCATTGTATGAAACTTGCCTGTGTCATCTTTGAATTCCACTGAACTGAGCCGGAGACCAAAAGTTCCAGCAAACCACAGGGCTTTATCAACATACGTTTTCAGTTCTCGTATCTTTTGTCTTCGTTGTCTTTCCTTGACCTCATTAATGTTCTTTCCGCAGTTTTTAAACCCTTCTTGCTCAGAAATCTTGTCAAAGTACTCCCACAAATGGGCATTCTCTTTGTTTAGCTTTTCAATGTCAGAATAAGCCCCTGTTAATTTCTCATCGCTTGCCCTCCTAAGTTCCTCAGCTTCCAACAAACTTTGATAAAGTTCATTGCAGCGCTCATGGAGTCTTATATTTGTCTCTTCTAAAACATGTTTCTCATCCTTCACTTTCAAAAGCTCATGTTCAATTTCAGCGGCACTTCAAAGTTCGTCAGAACGTATTGCAATGCGTTTAATGGCTTTCCCGAACTTCACTGAACCAGAACCTATTTCCCCCTGAAACTAGTTTTGGCGGATGAACAAAGTCTTCGCAGATGATCTTCGATCCGTTTGCAGTCTTGCTTTATTAGGATTGCGTAGTTTTCTCCAAGAAAATGATTCAATAAGTCTATGAAGTTAAAGCAGATCCCTGTCTCCTTGAAATCCTGCCAACTTTTCAAAATATGGTTGGTAATATGGACAGTAAATGCGATCTCATCTGCATTAATGGACTGTCTTTTTACATATTCAAGGCTATGATTTGAATCAATGGTGACAATTTCCTTTATACTTTTCAAAATTATATTGCTTGAGCTCGTCTGACATATTAAATTACAAAGTATAATTTGCTTATCGTGTGAATCGTGTTGCAGGTATTGCAAATATATGTTTGTGATGTTACTCTGAGTGCATATCCACACCAGGTAAGCTTGAAAAATATGCCCGGCCACGGTGGGATTCGAACCTACGACCTTTGGAATACTAGCCCAATGTTTACAGTAATCGAAAGAGAACGTTTTGGCGATCATTTTGATACCAAAATGTGTCGTTTTATGGTCTAAACTAGCTTGAAATCTGACACGAACTTGCGGGAATAGCGCTAGATTATGGCGTGCAGCATTCACAAGCATACAAATGAAAATAGAGCGAATTTGGAAGGGAAAGGAAAAGTTTATCCTGTAGCTATGAAAACCAAATGTTGTGGATTGAAAGATATGTGATTCAAGTTTTACCATCCATCTTGGCAAATTACGAAGCAGTTATAGAAATTCTGCAATGGATCTGTGAAAGTCTCAAATATGATGATTTTCTGACTTGTTTTTGTATACATTGTATTACGGCTGCCTTGCAATATTTGGGGTATGGAAAGGAAGGGTAAGTTTAAATTTTCGAGCTCAATTTTTTTAACAGAACAGTCGACAATTATCATTGTAATGGTCTACCATTTTGGCAAATACAAAACTATCACTCTATTTTGCAATATTTACCGAATTTCGTTCGTCTCCAATGCATTTTATAGTAATTTTAGTAGCCATTTTGTTTTGATTTTTGGCAAAATCTGCATACGCAACGCGGGCTCAATGACCGAAATAGTTGGCGATGATTAGTAATAATGTTAAGAGTAGAAGTATTTAGACTATATAAATTAAGGTTGATATTTGAAAAATGTACATCTAAATGTTGCTATTTACAATAAAACACTGGTATTGTCATGAGCAGTGAATCCGCTCTTTCCTTTAAAATGTCTTTGACCTGACGGATATATGATGGTAATTCGCTGCATGACCGAATCTCCGCAGGAAGTTCATTAAATATCGGAGATATGGAGTCCCGAAATGTTCCTTTTGTTAGTGGTACCACTAATAGTGGTGGCGCTTTGCTTGATCTTAACAGTCTTTTTGGCTCACGTTTCTCTACTTCAAGTATTTAGGCCATGACGGATTATACATCGCATGGTGGGTTGCTTGAAGTAAATCAAGATAAATTCCATCAATCATCCCTTGTTTATTCCCCTTGCAGTCTTAGGAACAGCAATTTGTCAGTGTAGTGATGAACCAAGATCTGTTTCACAAAACGTATGGATATCAATTGTTATATATATATATATATATATATATATACTTTGACCATTTTACAAGACCATACACAAAAAAATTCCCTAATAATATATTTATTTCAGGCCTGCGGGGCTAAATTTACAGTTCTTATAGCAGTGTATTTAATGCTCATATTTTCATGGCAAAAACAGTAATTGGGCAATAGTCTGGCATTACAATTTATTCTGGATAGTAAAAATTTACCTCAGGGGTTTGCTTACCCGATGATCGTTCTTGATAAATGTAATGGTTCGTAGCTTGTTGATAAAGTGTGCAATCTACTTTATGCCAACTTTCAAAGCTTTTGTTACTGAATTCTCTCATTGACTTAAAAGTTCTCATCAGCATTGAGGCATGTTTGATGACGAGATGTCCATAGTCGCCAGTTTCAAGAAGTGTTACAATTGTTTTACAATAGGGACATTTAGATATTCGTTTTTTGGCTGAAACGTCAAACCGCAAACGTCAAGAAACCACGTGACTACATCCCAGCGGTTGCGTTTGCCGTATATTCTTGAGGTTTTCAACGACAGAGAAGGTTTTTCACGTAAGTCATTTCCCTCAAGCTTTTTATATCTATTTTGTCGAATTATCTCGTGTAATTATAGTCTATTTTTGTTGGTATACGTTTAGTCTTTAAATATAAATAATGATTGTGGTCGATTAAATCTTTTAAGCATGTTAATTTCTCAAATTTGAAGTGGTCACTGGAATAGCATGTATTCAAAATGGCTGCGATATATTGACAACTTATATATTAAAGTTGTATTGCATTTTATTAACAATATAACAAAGATATTTTAACCATTTAAAGTGTAGGAATAGTTTAACTATCTTTTAAGAATATTGTTCTTTGGAATGCTATGTCAACAGAATTTTACAAACGCATTGAAGTTGTTTATAATATAAATTTGTTTGTTTTATTTAGACTAAATTATAGTATAAATAACAAAGATCAGAATGGGCCCATTCAGATGGCCTATGTTGCAAAACGATGTTGATTTGGCAAAGGAAGTTGTGGCAACAAGACCTGAAAAACCTAGTGATTGGGATAACATTGCGAGTCGCCTAAATCCAATATTTTCGTTAACAAATGGAAAAGCAGTGGAGCTAAAAGGCAGAAGTTGTAGAGAAAGAATAGAAAGACTCTTGAAAAAGTATAAAGCGGACGACTCTGCAGCCCTTACGAGGTATAACCAGTGGGTATAACACATTACAACATGATCTGGGAATTTAGTATATGAACAACATTTAGGGACCAGTCATTAATTACAGGGGAGGGGGGCTGGTGGAAATGAAAATTAGATGCTAAAATTTTGTTGTCCCCCCCCCTTGAGGACAACACAATTGACCACCACCCCCTCCCCCCCCCCCAACATGCAAAAAGCAAAAGGCACATTCATAATTTAAAGTTCTTATAAAGTGAAGCCACATTTAAGCATACTGCCCTATAATAGTTGCCAACATTGGGAAAAAACATCTGAGATTTTGCTTGGGGGGGGGGGCACATGCCACCACCACCATAGCTGGGGCTGAGCGGAAAAAGTCTCTAGATCATTGGAAATGGCATTTTTATCTGTAGGTTTTATGGTACAACAGAGTCATGCGGGGCAGGCCCTGGGCCCCCCCCTTTTTCATGCATAAAAATACCTGACCCCGCCTCTTTTTCCACCAGCCCCCCTGTAAATAATGACTAGTCCCTTAGTATAAGGTATAGCAAAATTCACAACTTTTACTATTATCCCTGTGTAGGAAGATAATTAATTGCAATTAATTTCTTTGTATTTCACAAAATATATTTATGAAAGGATATCTTATATATGCTCTGAGTGAGTACCTGTATAATTGGGGGAAATACTTGGTATATGAATGTGATATATCTCTGACAGATCAGGCACTGAGGAAGAATACAGTGAGTTAAATGTTCTTCTTGAGGACATAACAGTTTTTCGTCGTGATTTGGAAGAGGCTAGAGAGTTAGAAAAGGAAGTGAAAAGAAAAAAGATTGAAGAAGATGAAAAAAGAGGGCATGACATGAGACAAGCAGCCCTATCAGGAATAGCTGGTCTGTATTTATGTAACATAGCATAAAACCACTGATTCATGTTTAGCAGCACTGAGCAATATTTAGCTTAGAGTTGTATAGAAAAAAAGGTTGATTGGGGGGGAGGGGTGATTTTTGGGTGATGTGGAAAATTTTCGGCCAAGAAGTCTCGGCCCCCTCCTTCAACTGAGTTGCTCCTGTTTGCCTATGCATAATTTCAGTAACAAGATTTACAAAAGTTATGTATTTGTGTGCTACAGTATATCCTTACGAACTTGGTCAGTGAAAGGGATAATTACTCTAATATTTTTTTGCTTTATATTCATATTGATTATTTGTTGCAGGGAAACGACAGGATGACTACAGTAATACATCCTCCAGTGATGAAGATGAAGATGAGGAAGACAATCCTCCTGAAGAGAAGAACAAAACAGGTAGTAATTTATATTAGCTTATTACTGGAACGGCATTTCTTTATGAGGAATTATGGTGTTATAACTTGTCATGTTTCGGCATCCTGTCTAGGAAAAAAGGTTAAACAAAGAGCTAGTAAGTTATCTGCAGTGCAGATGTTAAGTGACAAATATGAAAGGAAAGCGGAATTAAAACAAAAAGAACTGGAAATTAGAAAAATGGAGTTAGACCTGCAAAAACGAAAATTTGAAGAAGAGACTGAAGAAAGGAAAATGCGTTTCAAGATGGAAATGGAAGAAAGGATGATGCTTGAATTGTTAAACAATAAGATGTAAACTTTAACAGACTAGTTTATTTGTTAACATTTGTTCTTATGTAATTATATTATGTAACAAGGTTGTTCAATAATTAAAAGTTACTTACAATGCTTTTTTTTCAAATTTAACAATTTATGTGTTACTCATTTAGTAAATAGGTTTCCAGGCATGGTGGATCAACTTCGAAGAATGTAGTTGATAGGGATCCATATAAGCATGTATGACAATTTGTCATAAGAGCACCTACTATGTAGTATTTGGCTACAGGTTGCAAGAGGACCTTCAAATTTTTCTTAAAATCCAAATATGCGAAGTAAGTGCAGATTTTCCCAAAACCCCACTCAACGCTAACTCGAACTTTGCTCATTCTTTTGTTAAATTTCTTCTGGTCTTCTGTTAAATTGGCACCACGGAATGGAGCCAAGATGGATCTGGTAACACCATAAGCTGGATCACCATAAATGACGTAGCGTTCCCCCCTGCCTCTAGCATCCTCCAGTTGCTCTAACTTTGCAGACACACCGCTTGCTGCTAGCATAA